TTAAAATAAAACGACAAAACAAAAGAAAATAAGATCTTATTTCAGATCGACATGTGTTCTGAACTGAAAACACGATTTTAAACATATTTTTCATTTTATATTGTTATTGTTTCTAGGTATTTTTCTCCGTGCAAATGTCCATGCTGATTACTAGTTTTAATTCAAAATGCAGAACATATTCAGATTTTGACAATTTTAAAAGCTTCATTTAATGTATTAAGTACACCGACAAATGCACCACAGCAGCACTACATAACAATCAGCATTTCAAATTTTTCTCATTTTTCCCTTGATAAAAGGGACATTTTCAGTTGTCCTATGTGATTGTGAAAATATTACACATATACCATCCAAAAATAAATAATTGTGTATGTATCTAAAAGATGACATTAAATTAAAGTAATGCCTAAAATCTGTTATTTTTCTTGGGCGTGATTTCCGTTCGTAATTAAAAAAAAAAAAAAAAAAATCTTACAGTCCAATCTTTATCTTCTGCCGCCATGGATGCCCCCCACCCCGCTTTCAGTTCCTTTCTCCTCAACACCGTCGTGCACCTCCACGACCTCCGTAGAGATGGCGAGAAATCAGTGAATGAATTGGTGGCTAGGATTTACCGCCCTCGACTAAAGTTCGTTGTCCGATCTACGACGGATGTGATGATGGGGTCGTCGTTGGCGATGGTGGTTTGCGTCGCCCATTTTTAGATGGCGATTGGAGAGAAGAACGTGCTGAAATCGATCAGGTCGAACATCGTCTGCGTGAGAGCAAAAATTGGGGGAAAATTACAAAATCGCAGTATATATATCACAGTCGACTATATATATAAATTTCACATATACTGTACATATACTGATAATATACTATAGATATACCAAAACACAACACAAAGGCGCGATCAATCTTTTTTTCTTAAGAAAAGTTACGCAAATATACCACACAAAAAGTTGACAGGTCGATTATTTGTTTATGTTTTTTTTAATGATTTTAACGTTCAATGAAACGTACATGAATTTATTGTTTTTTTACGCAAAATATACCCAAAAAAAGAGGACATATATTCTGATATCACAATCGATTATATATATAATTGACATATACTGTACATATACCACAACACAGCATGTATCAGATCTTGAACTCACCCCTGCAGCCTGGTATTTCGGCAAAACGAGCATATGTCGGAGCTCGACTTGCGTGATGGTATCTCCTAACTGCGCGAGCACCATTTTCACTGATCTCCGGTGATTCTACCTGGATAGTTTAGGGTTTTAGGGTTCCGATGAGTTTTCTTGTTCGGTCGCCGGAGGAGAGAGGGGCACGGGCGTTGCCATATACAGTCTGGTGCTTTGGAGAAGAGAGAAAAAGAGAGAGGGAAGAGGATGAGAGCGAGAGAGATGGTGAGCGTGAGTGTTTTTAGAGAGAGATAATTAAGTCAACCGATTTATTTGGTAAGTAAATCTCACTAGGTATATTTGCAATATTTTGTACGTCTTTAGGCTATTTTAAAAATAAAAATAAAAAGGTAACAAAAGTGTTATATAAATTAAATAGGATAGTATGGGGTGTAAATTCCTCTTGATAAAATTCAACCTTTCCAAAACAAAAGCATGGAGTAAAGACTCAATTGTCGTCCCAATTCTTTAGCAAAATGAGAATGCATACAAACCACAACGAAACAAATCTCCAGAAACAAAACAGCATGATAGTAGTGGTTCCATCCGGTCTTACCAAAAATAACACAACATGCCTTAGCAATATTTCTCAATCCAGAAAAAACATTATCCAGTCTTTAAATTAAGATGCATGCATCAAATCATATGACCAAGGTACATTTTTCATCCCAAAAGCTACGCATCTACGGACACAAGTCATGGACTGCGGGACCTTGCCTGCAATAAAAGCACAAGTTCAACAGCCAACTTAGTCACAACTTACATCCTTCAAGAATTAAATTGAAGTGTTTGGTCAACATATATTAATTAGCCTTTCAAACGTTAGTAAAGACATTTATATATACTAGTACAGAGCCCGTGCGATGCACGGGGTGCACAATTTTAAAGCTATTTATCCAGACTTATAATTATATACATGAATAAAAAAAAATGTATAGAATATATATAGTACGTGACCCGCGAGATATATTTATTTGGAGAATATTATATTATAAGATGCAATATTCAATAAAAGTTTATAATACGCAAGAAATTGTACGATGTTCAATAAAAATTTTATAATATTCAAGTGGAGTCTTTAAAGTCTCTTGTACATTAAGACTACTGACAAAATAATATTTTAATCAATGAGTTTCATTTCCTTGTAGCCAAATTGTGAATGTGATTTGAGGAGTACAACAAATCGATATATAGCTGACTTGTTTTTCTCATTGTAGTTTTTTTTTCTTTTTTTTTATAATGAATTTAAAGATATTCTAAAATATAGCAAAAATTAGTTTTTTTATTACAATTAGGAATTTTAGTAAATATAAACTCTCAATCTATGGTGTTAATCAACGTTTAAGTCTAAAAAATTAAAAAATTTTACCTCTTTTAATCAACGTTTAAGTCTAAAAAAACAATAGAGTTATTATAAGTTTTTTTTCTACATCTTTTAAAACATTAAATATGAGCATGTTAGGGCTAGTTTGTAAAATAATTAATATATTATCTCAGTAAAACATTTATACTAATAAAAAATTAATTTTAGCATATAAATTTATCCCTTGATATAAGAGAAAGTAACAGTTTTACTTATTGTTGTTCACCATATAATATTTAATTATTATTTTATTATATAATAAAAAATGAATATTGTTAAATAGGGTAGTAGAATTGTTATAAAATTATATGAATTTTTTTTTTACAATATGGATTTAATATTTTTTATGATTTGATAATATAAACAAATCTATACTTAACTTTGAAAAATAAAACAAATAAATACTTTAGTAAGTATTTAATATATATACTAAATAGGAATATATTTGGTATAATCAAATACCAAATATAATCAAATAAGTAAAAGTGTACATTTTTATTTGATATTTAATTTTTTTATTATTAAAATCTTTTTATTATACTTACCTTTTTAAAATAAAATAAATAAATAAATCAATTAAATAAATAAAATATTATAATACCAAAATAGTAATGACATTTAATGCAGTTGACTTTTCTGGATAATAAATGTAGTAAATAGAATATCCTTTTATATAATATAATACGGAAATAGTAATGCAATAAATGCTGTTGACTTTTCTGGCTACTTAATTTGGTAAATAGTACCCCTTTTAATATAAGTATAGATATATATATATATATATATATAATTACTAGCTGATGCATTTAATAAAACATTTAATAAAACCTATTTTCATTTCCCTCAAAAGGGAGTTACAATTTTAATTAATTACTCACTAATATGAAAAAATTGTTACACTTTAATATATATATTTTTCTTATTTATTTTTTGGAGCAGTTACTAAATTAATTCTAAATTTAGTAGCAAAATATTCAAATGTGTAACGGCTAATGTTGGAACTTAAAGTTGATTGGCACATTCAGAGCTGTAACCGCTATATTTGGTTCCATTGTTGGAAGAAAAATGTGATTGGCACATTTTTTTTTTTCTAAAAATCAGAAACACCAATAATTTTTTTTTATTTATGTTGATTTTTCTAATATATGCCACAAATATATAAATTATTTTATTCATGTTACTAATGTAAACGTTGCATGGTTAAAATAAAATTTAAATCTCAATTAATTTTGAATGATAAAAATAACTTGAAAAAGTAAAAATTTTTATCTTATAGAAGTACACGTCTAATTAATAAATAGAAACAAAAACGTGTTTTATATATGTGCAAATGCACAGAATCAAATACTAGTATATATAATTGTTGGCTAATAGCATTTAATAAAACAGTTAATAGAATCTCATTTCGATTTCCCTCCAAAAACCGCTGCAAACTTTATCATTTATATCTCTCTCTATATTTAATTACTAACAATAAATTTAATAATATTAATTATTGTTTACCATCTTTTTATTTTACAAACTTCTGTTATTATTATTATTATTATTATTATTATTATTATTATTATTATTATATTATTATGCTAAAATATTTCATTGCACCTTTTTTAGGGTTAATTAAGACAAAAACTGTTACATTTTATATTAACGGAGTAATAATTATACTATTTCATTATATCATATAATAGTTGTTATTAAAACTAATAACTATAGTTTACACTAAATGATATATGAAAGTTACATGAACATAAAAAATTATTGTAAACTTTTTGCTAAAGTTATTAATTCTAAAATTAATATTATATTTTTTTATATCTTATTTAGCGATTGTATTTTTAAATAAGTTAATTTATTTTAATGTTATAGTAAAACCTTAAAATCGCATAATCAAATGTTATAATAAATTTAATATTTTTAAGCTAATAAATTGACGATCTCTCAAAATTACATTATTTATTATATTTTATGTAATTAATATAGTGGTTCATATGCAATCAAATAGTTATGTACTATTTATTTTAACCAATGATTAACTTTTAAAACATAATATCATTATCTAATTTATATATTATTATATGCATAAATATAGCTTATAATACTCTGTTTAAAATATATCATTGTATAACTTATAATTTTAATACTATATGCATAAATGTAACTTATAATATTCTATTTACACTGTGCAAATTCACAAGGTCGAATACTAGTCAAAAACTAAAAGAGAAACTTCAAAAACAAGATTAGAAATTAGAATATCCAGTATATTAAAAATATATAGAAAGGAGGAGAATATCTGTTAAGAACTTTAACAAAGATTGGACAACCTGAAGATGTGGAGTAAGCTCCCAAGAGTATATAACTCAAGAGAAGCAACAGCATGACATATTAATAGTGCAAAGAAATGTTCTGCATGTGATTTACCTCACGAGGAGAGTATATAACTCGAGAAGCAACAGCATGACATATTAATAGTGCAAAGAAATGTTCTGCATGTGATTTACCTCACGAGGAGATGCAGACTTCGATATCGACCTTGACCTTGATCTGGGATATATAGAAGAGCAATACTGTGAAAACAATGGAATTACATCATCCAAGACTGCATCAAGACAAATTAAAGCAAATGAATACCTGGGCGCCTTAATAGGAGATGCAGATGGTGACCTCGAAACAGATCGATCAAGTGATCTGCTGCCCAATTAACAACTATTCTCAGTCACGGGTTCAAATATCATAGGCACGTGTATTTTACAAACATTAAATTTGGCCTACTTATAGGAAGATACAGATCTTTCAAAAGTTGTGTGAGTATCCCATTTCTTAAACTAGAAAAAAAAAAATGTACTTGAAATATTACTATAAATGAGGGTTTGTACCAAGTGCACTGAAGCTCAAGGGTATTAGTGTAATTAAAAGTTGGTAAACAAGTATGACTCCACACTACCTTCTCCTCCTGGGACTTCTACTTCTACTGCGACTCCTACTCCGGCTTCTCGATGAACTGCCCTTGAGTTCCTTCACCTAAAATCACCAAACCAATCAAAAACTGGTAACTAGAAATGATTTTTTTGAAGTTACCAAAATATAAAAATAATCACTAAATTCTCTTGGAGCAACAAAAATGGAACATACGCACCTCTATAGCAATAAAAATTACGTAACTAAAAAATAAAAAATAATGTCATGTAAAGAGTACCCGAATATAAGTTCTAGTCCAAGGATTTCTGAACTCAGTATCATCAAGCTTACGGATCTGGTCAAATAATGTACGTATTAGCACATAACTGGGACTGACAGTACAAACATAAAGTTCAAAAAGAGGTTCAGGAAAAATAGAAAACTCACAGCATATTTCATGTCCTCATAATTTGTGTAATCAACAAGGCCATAGGTTCCTGAATTGACAAGAATTGGGTAAGGAGACATCATTGGCAGTTTATAAATATAATAAGGCATAAACGTCCACGTCTCGCATTTTACAACTGATTAACAATAAAGAACAGTTCAGAAAATACCTTCCCTGTCTCGTGAAACTTCAGCAAAGCAGACATCCCCAGCTTTTCGCATATGATCCTAAAATATTTTCAAAGTTCATAAACTAGCCGAGCTGAAAAAAACATACAAATATAAATACAAAACGCTCCACACCACCAACCTTCAAGTCTTGCCAAGAAGCAGAGGATGGAAGCCCACGAACAATAACTATATTAAGAAAACCACAACCACGCACCAGGGCATTGAAGAGAATAGTATCTTTTTGTTCAAACACAAGGAGTACTAAAATAGAAACAATTCAAAAGATTCATAAGTAAACTAAGTGACCTCTATATTCAGAATGACGAGAAGCACCATATCGGCCACCGCCTCCACCGCCGCCGCCGCCATAACCACCACGACGATTGCTTGAAGATTGTCCCCTACCACCATGTGCAAGTTCAACCTAGATTTGGTAGCAACCATTAAAAACCAAAAGTGTAGAAACTAAAAGGAAAAATTATGAAACAAATTATATGATAACCTGAAGTTATAGAAACCATTAATTGTTCTTACCCTCAGTCGACAACCATCAAAGTTATAGCCATCTCTGCCCTTGATGGCATCTTCTGCATCCAGAGGACTGTCAAACTACAAATTAATAATAGAATTAATACAATTACCGACTAAATCCCAAACTTCCTAATGATCAAAACAAAAATATCAGTTATCAAAAAAAAAAAAAAAAATACAACTGATTAATACCGAAGATAAGAACTATTCATACAGGTTGAAGTACCTCCACGAAACAATAGCAAGGTGGGCGAGGAGGAACCTTCAATTCAATATCCAAAATGTAGCCATACTGCAAAGAAATAATAGAAGTAATTAAAAGGCCTAGTTTATACAAACCTTCAACAAAAAAACACATGCCATGATCAATTTATCAACTCAGAGGCAATATATAACAGATATAATGCCAACTGATTGTAGGGAAATAAAATGGCTGATAATAGGTACACCTCATATTACAATTGAATGTATCAAAAATAATTTTTCTAGATCCTAAAAAACTATCTTTAGTACCGAAACTTAATAACTGATACAATGAAATTACAAAAAGTTAAATCTTTAAAAATAAAAAGATGTACAAAGAAAGAAAGACAGATAAATTATACAAGAACCAAAGAAGAACATCGAAAACATCAAGACCACTTAATGGATCCAATAATAATTACGATACAGAAGTAGTAATATATTTTCCAATGTGAATGTTGAGAGAACGATAGAATTATACAAGGTCTCATCATATTCACAACATGCCATATAAATTCAGTGTTGGTGTAATACCATCTCACACCTACATCAAGGTTAAGCTAACTATTAGAACGTCCTAGCCAATAGAATAGTAAAAACTAATAAGTCCAAGAAAAAAAAAAAAGCAAAAGAGTGAATTTTCTTTCTAATTGGTCCAATAAACAAGATAGCAATGCAACCAAACCAAAGCACCACATGTGGTCCGCCTTAAAAAATAAATGAAAAATGCTATGTGCACATAATTTTTCTGTACATAGTGGTTTACACACTCTCACATGTGGTCCGGCTTAAAAAATAAATGAATGGGTCGCACCACATGTGAAAATTTGTAAAACAAATTATGCAACTCAGCCAAATTATGCAACTCAAACCTTGTAAAACAAATCTTCAATTTCATGTTTTCTAACATCATCTGGAAGGTTTCCAACATAGATTGTCCTTGAGAAACGACCACTCATTTTTAGACTTTGAGGAAGAAGTTAATAGTAGGAGCTGCAGAGCAAAAATATTGATCAATGAGGAACCAGATTATTGAACTGAACAATGCAAGCTTATAATTCTACACATTTCCTGTCACCATCTGAGTAATATGACGGGGAAAAAGGAAACAACAAAAAAAATATGAACCAAACCAAGAAAGCAATCCTTGAGTTGAGCGGTGGCGCTCCTCAAGCTCCGTTGTTCATGTGCTCCAAGATACTCCAAAGCTATAACTTATTTGAATTAAAATATCTCCTCATCCACTCTAAAACTCTAAAATTTGCCAGATGAATAGCTCTTCATAGAGTGAGCAAGAACTTCCAATTCTAAAAAAAATACCAAAGACTCCACCCTGAAGTCTCCCACTCCCATCCTACATCCCTAAGTATGATTGCAAAGCTCATTGTTGTCCAAGCGCTTGACATCTATCATAAACAAAGATTTCATGAGATGAGGAAACATTGTCATATACTTGTGTATTCACCTAGTCCTTATTCAGATTTCTATATGGTATTATCCTGCAACATAAAACATCCCATTACTGATGATCACTTCCCCCTGACACGGTGTAGTTATTAACACTAGAGATGGGCTAATCATGTTTGTTTCAGGTGCAGGAGCGTGTGTGTGTGTCTACATGTGCACATATAAAAGGGCTCAAACAAAATGTTAAGCAACAAACATCTCGACATACAAGAAGACCAAATAGTAGTGCCATGTAAAAAATTAATAGTCAACAGTCTAATCACCAAACATACAGGCACCCCTACGTCTTTTGATGTGTGTTTGGTAGCAGGTGCCTGGTGGTTGGTGGTTGGATGCAGGAGTTTCTTGTCCATGTGACAAATCCAAATACTTTCATATCTAACACCAATGGTGAAGAAAACAAATGCTACGGGCATTGCTTATTTCTTCAGGGCCAACTTCACCACACAGCTTCAGCAATTTTGAGAGAATCAATGTAAATACAATTTTTTAAATAATATAATCGAAAAAACTTATTAAACTCCAGCTCCATTCTAATATCCCACCAGGGAAGCATCACAAGCAAAGATGCGCATCACATAATCTAAATTTATTGTCTGTTTCAGACTGTCCCAGATAAATGTAGTTACTTACATGGGAAAAATAAATATACTCGACTACAAATATTTTCTTTGGTACATATGGCCATTCTTTAGTTCTGATCTGACAGTAAGACCTTGATTCTTCAACTTCGATGAAATAGGTTTTGATAATAGATGCTTAGCAAGGGGATCAAAAAAGTTAATAAACCACAACTGAAACCATATTAATAGTTTGATTAATGTTTTAGTTACACCATACAGCATATGTAAACGAACAAAGAAAGAAAACCTAGGTTCAAAGGGAAGTCATAACAAAACAGACACGATCAGGCTGACCCATTGCATGCATTGCCTGAATAGCTTGAAGTGAAAAATCAATAGAGTACTTAATAAATTCTAGACAATTACTTAGGAATTCCATTGCCCCAAATTCAATCGGATTAACAAACTCCAACAGTCAAGCTTAATTATGTCCATAAATTCAATAAAACCATACCAGTTGACAGAATCAGCAAAATAGTTTAACACCTAGAGCAAAAAAAAGTCAACCTCCTGAAGAAGAGAACCTCAGCGACTCGTCGAGTTCCAAAAGCAGTTCTTCAACACGAAATTGGATTCTGAAACAAGATTGTAATCATTAAATAGTACGAAAATCGTTAAGTCTGTGTAAATTAACAGATGGAAAAGAGAATGCCAAGAGTTAGGGTCCCGAGAATTTGAAATTGAGCGATTCGAATGCTGCTTACCTCTGATGAAGACGTGCGGCGGCGCTTTACCAGTTCAATTCAGCAACCAGCGTGCTTTATTGCCTAACTAATCGCACGGAGCATTTATTAAATATGTTTTTTAGAGGTACTAGCATTGGACAACGTGGATTTGCATATATACAAATAAAATAATATAAATTACTTGTATGTATATAATTTTATAAAATTATAAATTAAATAATAATTTTCTATTTTTAGTCACAAACTATTATAAGTTATAGTATGCATCTAATATTAAAATTGTAAGTTAGATAAATGTATTATGTTTTTAAATTCGATCATTAGTTAAAATAAACTAGTACGTAACCCGTGCGATGCACGGGTTGTATAATTTTGAAGAATAATATAATTTCACGTGCATTATGATCGAAATTGAAATCATTAAAATACATAGGAACATTATTGAATCATAAAAAGTTCGTTCACAATCATATATTATTAATAACCTCCTTGTACACAACATTATGAGTTTGATTATTAGCTAACTCCTCATTATCACAAATTAATATTTTCAACCCCCTTCTATTAATTACAAGTGAAACAGCAATATATAATTGGTCATGACTGAAAATGGGTTTCTTCAGAAAAAGACCAACGTGTGATAAAGACTGTTTCTGACTCTTGTTTATGGTCATGGCATACGAAACCATAAGTGGAACTGCCGACGCTGGAACTTAAATGGAATCCTAGTATCGGATGGAGTGATATTCATCCTATGAATCAAGATCTTCTCGCCAGTGTGATCTCCTGTCAATATCTTGCATTCGTGGACATGAGTAGATAGTTTAGTCACAACCAATCGAGTCCCATTGCACAATCCCATAGAATGGTCCATATTGCGCAACAACATTACCGGAGTTCCTATCTTCAGGTGCAACTCATGGTTGGGAGTACCAGAACACTTGATGCTATTCAAGAATTCTGGCGTGTGGAGATCTGCCAAGAAATCATTTCCGGAATACGACTTAGAAGTAATGTCAGAGCTCAAATACGTACGACCTTCAAAAGAATTCAACTCGGACATGTATTGGTTGATGGACTCAACAACCTCCAACGTGGGAGCTAATATTGCCCTATCCTTCAAATAACTCGGATCGTCAGTTGCGTTCTTGAACATTGGATAGGTACTTTCTGCAATCGTAGCAATAGGATCATCTGAGGGATCCAATCTTATATCATCTGGAATTTCGATTGCGGCACAACCATCATTTGGTCCTCCTATAGTACCATTTCCAATACTCGCAATCCAATCCGCAAATGCAGTCAACTCGTCACGCTCCTCCGAATCAGAGATGCTCTGAAGACGCATGTTTTTCGTAAGCTGGAGCACAGTACAGTCCGTCCAAATGTTTGATGCATTAATAGTTGCATTAACAATGTCCTGACGGCTCCGCTTTGGAATGACTGGAAGGATCTGTCTGAAGTCTCCACCAAAGACAATCGGTTTGCCTCCAAAAGGCTTGCTACTATTCAAAGGGTCAATTGCGCCCATTATAGCTTGCAATGATATCACACGACAAATTTTCATGAATACTCAACGGTATTCGAAATCGAGAATGTGCAGTTCTTCCACCGGGCAATAAAAGCGATGCAATTCCACTCGATGTTATGCATAGAACAATTTTACGCTTCGACCGTAACGCCGCAGACAAAGTCCTCCACAAGTAGGTCTTCCCAGTACCACCATAACAGTATACAAAAAATACTCCACCGGCACCTAAATCAACAGCGGACATAATTCTTGAATAAATTCTTTTCTGCTCGTCGGTCATTCTCCGAGGAAGGGATTCGTGCTCCACAACCATTTCCTTTCGATCGTAATTAAGCTCATCCAATATAAGGCGGTTTGGAATGTTATGCATACTATCTCTGTCCAGATAAGGCATGGATGAATAATCACGAAGACTTGCGCCGCGAATTCGCAACATAGTCTCAATCTCAGCAAGTGTCAGATTCTTGATAGCATCTTCACTGAGCGCAAATCTAGAATGTTTAAAATATATATGAAAAAATTAAAAATGATAATAAATATAAAGATAAATTGAAAATATATAAAAAGAATATTTACCATCGTTATTAAACAATCTTCGTTGTCTATATAAAATGTCATCAGATAAAAATATCCAGTAATGTTGTCATACGTCATCTGGTCTACCCATAGAACTGGAAACCAACAATGACACAAACATACGCCTAAGAGACTCCGTAGATGCCCAGTGACTTGCTTCGGTTATAATGTCTATGAACTCTCTGTCATCATCCAACAATCCGTGTTCGTAGCAAACATCTCTATAATTAAGATACTGAGTGTCGCCAACTTTCATGTAGTCCTCGTGGCATGTAGCACCGCGAACAACAGTTAACAGACATCTCAAATAGTAATTATCTCCGCAGCCAGGGTTCACGTAGTGTAGGCGGCCTATTGTACCATCTTCCCTTTTTCGAGGCCTCCACTCTCTGTCTGTTGCGTCCCAAACAAATTTAGATGGTGCCTCAACATAAGTAAGTTGCCGAGCCGCTGGGTAATTCTTATTCGCCTCGAACCATGCAAGGAATTGGCTCTCATTGACAGTTGGTTTGTTCAAAACATCCTCTAAGTCATCATCATCTTCGAAAATAATGTTCTGCTGTCCTTCAAGATGGAAACTCAATTGTTGTACTACAGGCCTCTTGTACTACAACTCAAAACCAAGCAACCTCCAAGCAGCTTCACAGGAGGACACATAACGACAATCATAGTACATGTTGATCTCATCTAAAGGTTTTTCAACACCTCCACCTCCAGAACTCTGATAGAATGAGGCGGTTACACAATCATTTCCTTTGTTAACATACTTGAATAAGTACTTTATGGATCGTGATTGATTGCACCACTCAACATTAACATGCGCTCCATATTTCATCAACAAATGACGATTGTGAGGCACAACATAACTATTATTGAGAACGACACCATTCTTCTCAATATGCTTACCATCATCTCGACGCCTGTACCGTGGATACCCTTCCTCATCTACAGTAGTGGAATCGAAAAACTTTTTTTTGAAATCGTTTGCTGCATTTGCCATTGACCATGCACAGTGAGTGTTTGTTCGTTCTGCACCACACGGTCCATGCATCATATGATCCTTCACAGCTTCATAATACATCGGATCGGACGTCTCATCCGGTATCACAACAGATATTATCCTATCAATGTTAGACGGGTCGGGAAACTTATTCTCCTTGGCAAGGAAAAGCAGTATGTGAGCATGCGATAGTCTACGCTTTTGGAATTCAATGGTGTAAACAACTAAAATATATACACATAACAGACATTAATAAATAAATATAATTCATACATGATTAATATTTAAAATATATAAAATTAATTAATTATTAAATTAATGCAAAACAAAAAAATTAAAGAAAGCGTTTCACCTGCAATAACCTTTCCAAAGATTTGTTTCTCATGAAAATCCTTTATCATATGCTTAAGTTTTGCCCTAAATACTCTGCAAATGATATCTGATCGGTCCTCAGGACGCAATTTCCTCGGCTCAAGAAAACGACTAATCTCCGGCCAGTTTGGATTGCAAATAAAAGTGATAAAAAAATAAGGATATCCAGCTCATCTACAAATTGCAATTGCATCCTGGTAATTTTGTATCATATTTCTTGGACCTCTAATGAATGAAGAAGAGAGAATAATACGTTTTCCTCGGGAGCTGGGATCAGTATCGCCATGCAGCACAACGTCCGCCGAACCCTTATACATCTCACAACGAAGCTTTTTCTGATTAAAGCGAATATATCGCAATCTCGATGATTCCACCATTGTATAAGCGTCAACTACAAATTGTTGAAATAGCCTTCGAGCAGAAAGAATTGTTCGTGGCTCACACTTCCGATCATGCATACGGTATGCAAAATACTCCTTGCAACTCACGTGTTTTCTACCTTTTTCAGTATCTGCTTTAATAACATAAAATGTAATGTCTTCCCTATAGTCATCCTCTCCGTAAGACAATAACAGTGGATATTGTAAAGCCAAATACAAAGCATTTAGTTCATTTATCTATTGAAGACGGCCACTCTTCGATTTAACTAAAATGTCCCTTTCACCTAGAGACTGATCGAAATCACCAACAATCAAAGCAGCAACTTCAGAGCTTGAGGGTAGATTATATCGTCTGGCATCATTGTATCTCTTTCTTATTAGACGGATTCTAACATCATGCTGACCATGGTTCTGAATTATGTCTCGAGCCATATGAAATGACTTTACCAGCTCGTTATCGTTGTCTAACATTTCCTTCAACCCAACGATAATATCCTCGTGCAAGTTGTTATCAACATCTGTTTGTCTAAAAAAATAATAATAAGAAAAAATAAAATTAAAATTATTTAAAAATAATAATAATAATAATAATAATAGGTAACCAACATTGATATAGTTTAAAGTACAAACCTTACGACATTCATTCTATTTGAAATCTCATTTTCAGTATCATATATGTACAACTGTACAAACTTTGGAGTGAACCGTCTGAAGGAAGCAAACTATCCATAAGATGATAATGTTGGCCATGAATGGTAAAAACAGGTGGTCCAGTACCACGGTTAATAGATCCATCAATTTTTCCCCCAAATGACGTAAAGGCAAACATGCTATTGTAAGATATGGTAAAATGCTTGTTTCTACGACTATCTCCAAAGAGCATTTCATTCAGAAAACTGGGCGGATCTTTCAGGATCGGGAGTTCAACAATCCCATTTTGGCAACAACCACTATAATCTGGTATATTTTTTTATTTTCTGAGTTGCTTTCTTTTCAACTACCCAAAAAAGTGCTCTACAATATTGACAATTCAGTATAGCATCCCCAATATCCCAATATTCTGCATAATTTTATAAAAAAAAAAACTATAGTCAATCAACAATCCCGTGATTGAAATTTATTTCTATAATTAAATATAGCAAAGGAAAAACAACCTTTAATTCTTGAAGTTGATCCTTGATTTTTCCTAGGTCGACCACGATTTGGTAACACGGGATTTGGTTAAACATCCTCATCCTGCGTAAGATCAACCACAACATTTTTGCTCGTA